GTATTCCTGGCATGGATTTGTTGCCTTCTTGCCTGCGTAACAATAGTCACTACATTTCAGATTAACTCAACGTGTAAATTGCTTTGAGAGGTTTTTACTTTTAAGACGCTTTAGTGTCAAGGGTTGATATAACAGCTAATTAATTCCAACCAGTCCAGGATTCTGCAGATCAGTGGTTTATGCATCATCTCAAGCAGCATTGGTGAAATCACAGTGCATTAGCAGCTGATATTTTACATATTTCTCCATAATCTGACAATATGTTTGCTATATTTTTCCTAAAGATCAGAGCTAGGCAACATCTGTCACTTTGATGAGCACATAAAATATTTAATAATAAACATGAAATTCATATTTGACTATTACTTGAGACTCCAAGCTTGCTTCTAGGTTGTTGCTCTTTGAGTGGCAATGAATTAATCTTTGCTGGATGTCTTTGGTGCTATTTCATTCGTGTATTTTATTGGCCATTTTACTGCGCTTATTTTCAGGGACATAGTAAATCTCAAAATATTAAACAATTGCCTTTGATGTCAATGTTGTACAAGGGAACTTCAACGGAATTGAGGCTTTTCACTAGAATTTGTTTTTACAGCCGTTACTTTTGAAACGCAAAGGCCATTAGTTTGACTAGTGGTACAAAAAATTTACATTTATTCATGAAAATTTTTTAAACAAAATTCTTAGGATTTACAAAAACAACATGACTAAAACAAACTCCCTGGCCCTTTCCAAGCAGACAAATACTGTGTCTGAAAATCATCTGACAGCAGGAAAGGATCCCAGCAATGTGCCCTTTGTTACAACCGGGAGAAGAAGGGGGAGCTAGTGGATCAGGGTTGGGGAATTTTGTGCTCAATTATGTGTCAGTGCTTGATTTTGCATATAGTGTCACCATAAATTTTAACTGGGTACATATAGCAGGACTTCAACAACAACAATTTACATTTATATAGAGCCTTTTGTTTGGGGAGGATGTCTCAAACACGTCACACAACTCACTGGGAGCCCAAGCTAAACGTCTCTCTCCCGAAGATGGTGAATGTTTATGTAGGGAGTTTCCAAAGCCATGTATAATTCTACCAAACCTATTCTATTCAAAACAATCAACAACAAGATTACATTCGGGAGTTCATCCCAAGGCGCTGGACAGTGACAGTATTTCAGACCTGAGCTGGGGTCGGGGGGGGGAAGGGAGGGGAGGGGAAGGGGTTTGGCCGATGGCACTGTCGAAGAGGAGGGTCTTGAGGTGGGACTTGAAGGAGGCTAAGGAGGGGGCGAGGCGGAGTGATAGGGGGATGGAGTTCCAGAGGTTGGGGGCAGAGTGGCTGAAGGCTCTCCCGCCAATGGTGGGGCGGGTGGGTCGGGGGACGTGGAGCAGCCAGAGCCGGCTGAGCGGAGGGAACGGGAGCATTGGTTAGGAGGTCACAGAGGTAGGGTGGGACGAGGCCATGGAGGGCATTGTAGGTGAGGACCAGGATCTTGAACTGGATCCTCTGAAGGATAGGGAACCAATGGAGTCGGGCGAGAGTGGGGGAGATGGGGTCACGGAGTTTGGTGCGGGAGAGGACACGGGCTGCAGAGTTCTGGATTAACTGCAGCTGTGGAGGGAGGAGTGGGAAGGCAGGGCTTGTCAGGGTTCCTGCTGCTAATCACTTTCTGTTGATCACTGGTGGAAAGTGTGCCTTTGTACAATGTATTCTGAACATGGGCTCAAGTGTAGCATGACAGCCAAATAACCTGACTACACAGTGTCTAAGGCTACCTTGAAAAATAGTTACTTGGATGAGGTACTGGAGGGCCACCAGTGTACATGAGGCGGTAGCCCAGTATGAGCCTGAAGCTTTGGAGGAGCATGACAAAAAGAAAAACTGAGGAAGAAAATAATCTATCACCCACCTGAAGCAATAAAAGCAGCTAGCAATATATACTATTTTTTGGGAGGTTTGTAATCCCAATTATGTACTAAATCAAAAAAAATTGTGGTCATTCAATCTACAACTGTTTGCGGGACACTGCTGCATTTCCTCCACAAAATACACTTTACAGTATATTCTGTGAAGTGCTTTGAGACATCTCAATCATGTGATAAAGTAATAATAATAATAATAATAATAATCCTTGCATTTGATATAGCGCTTTTCACGTCGGGAGGACGTCCCAAAGCGCTTCACAGAATAGACTGTAAAGTGAATTGACTGTATATTTGTGGTTGAACGCGGCAGCCAATTGCGCGCAGCAATGTCCCACAAACAGTCGTAGATTGGAAATGACCAATGTATTATTGTTTTTTGTTTTGGAGGGATTATTATTAGGCTCTGTGTGGAGTAAGGAAACTTGCCCAAGGTTTCGCCCTCTGCCTGGAATTGAACTCAGGTCTCTCGCTTGCAAAGCGAGTGTTCTAACCACTGAGCTACAGGACTCCATATTATATCAAATGCAAGGATTATTATATAAGACCAGAATGACTTATTTAAAGTCTCATGACTGGAAAATTAACCCTCTGTAATGGGAGAACTCAGAGCCAAACACAGATGTACGGTTGTGGAAGTTTTTTGTATACAGGGTTTGATAGCTTGTGTAAATTCTAAGCATCAGACAGATGTTCATCTGATGCTAGTGATAAGACTGCTCCGATGCACAACTTGTGCTGTGAGCTAAGAGACTGTCTCTTTGTAAAGACAGAAATTAATAGTGCACATTTTATTCAAGATTTTAATTATAGGGGAAAGATATACATGCTTTGTTAAATTCAGCTCCCGTGACAACAGTTGAAAATGCATCAAATCTGATCTCTAGAACGTTGAAATACTTGTAAAATCATACTCTCTATGAGTGGAAAAATTGAGTATCTGCTGTCACATTGGATTTGGGATGTACTTAAGGCCTGATCTATTTTTGATTGAATATTCATGATTATTGGAATAGTCAGAAATCATAAAGTCTACAAGTAGATTTACTGGAATGCTGATAACAGGCTCCAAAAGATTTTGTTAAAAATACAGAGATCTATATAGGTCCAAGCATCAATGTATTTGTTTACAATTTCATCCCACTTTAATTGATATCTTGAAATTGAGGCTTTCTAATTTCTTGCTTGTGTTGGAGAGATTGAAAGTTGAACGCCAAATAATAATGGCCACAACACATGAAATAAAAACATTGAAAGCAAAACCTCATGATTGAGCGCATCATCCGCATGTCACATAAGTGTTTAAGAGTTGGACGTCCGGGAAGTGCATCGTACATGAACAGATTTGTCAGATCAGGCAACCAGTGTGAGAGTGCAAGAAGCATCCACTGCTTGTTGCTCCACCACCTACCTTGCCCTCTGAGGTGCCTTGCTCTGACTGTTGCTGTGCAGTTGTATAGTTTACCGTAGAGAAGGATTGTCAAGCACAGGCCAAGCATTTTTGGAAGGTGGAGGATGTCAGTGCCTTATTCCCCTACATTGCTCTCCTTGAAGATGTCAGACAAGCCGCCAGCTTTGCTGCTGTAGCTGAAGCCCAGGGAGAACGTCTTGTCAGTAACCAGCTGTGGGGCGGCTGAAAAATAGAAAAGAAAAGCTGATGGGCACGTTTCATTACCAGTCAATATATAGCCTATTGAAGGTCATTTTACCGAAAATATATCCAGATGGTAATTGTGCTGCCATTACCTTGACTACCATAATTCCTGAGTAAGCTACACTTGTAACCATCAGCGGCTACCAAGGGGAGCTTTACTTCTCTGCTGCCGTTAGCTCTTGTATTGGAGACCCTCTACTTCCACCCTGCATCTGTTGTATCATATCCTCTGAGAAGAAAGCATGCACAGCCATTAATGTTTCTATTCTGTTGGTCCCCATTGCCGAGGACACCTGCAAGATGTGGGAATGATTGAAAGGGAAGCCTTAACCATTATCAGATAGGATATTTCTCCTATCTTCATACAAGCCATCCACACCTTCAAGCATGTGCATTTGAAGGCTGTTGCATGACGTCCATCCATCTATCCGTCCCTCCTTCATCTTACCGTCTGTTTTCTGAAGATAATGACCCATGCTATGGTACAGTTCCACAAGGAATGGATCTGCAGCATATCAACTACCTAGTATTTCTCAGTGTCTAAGGTATTGAATGCCAGAGAGCTACCACTAAGAAAACCATTACAGAACAATTTACTCTTGTGTCGTTTTCAGGAGAGCATTGGATAGTAATCAGGAGTAGGAAGCTTTCCCTATCTTGGGGTGGTGAGATTAACTGCATGCCTCTGTGTCAGATTAACTAACTGGGAGAAGGACGGTTCTCTTGGTGTCCTAGCCAACAATCTTTCAATAAAATTGGTCATTTTATGGCTGTTTTGGGGACAGTGCTGTGTGCAAATTGGCTGCCATATTTGTCTACAAATGCAGACTAGACTTCTACAGCACCTTATGAAGCGCTTTAAGACATTCTCAACAGCATAGTAGCTATATCGTGGAGTCCTGTAGCTCAGTGGTTAGAGCACTCGCTTTGCAAGTGAGAGACCTGAGTTCAATTCCAGACAGGGCGAAACCTTGGGCAAGTTTCCTTACTCCACACAGAGCCTAATAATAATCCCTTCAAAACCAAAAACAATAATAAATTGGTCATTTTCAATCCACGACTGTTTGTGGGACATTGCTGTGCGCAATTGGCTGCCGCGTTCGCCCACAAATATGCAGTCAATTCACTTTACAGTGTCTTCTGTGAAGCGCTTTGGGACGTCCTCCCGACGTGAAAAGCGCTATATCAAATGCAAGGATTATTATTATTATTATTATGATATCAAATGCAAGGATTGTTATTATTATTATTATTATTTTTCTCTGTGATCCAGGTGTGAGAGACTACTCTATATGCAATAATATATTGTGTGATATAGAGCTGCGAGACTGGTGTACATATTACAATACACTCTGTGGGATACAGAGGTAGAATGCCAGTATAAATAAAGCACCAACATCTGTTCTGTGTGTGATTCGCACTGAAACTCCAACAGTTCCTAAAAAACAGAAATTTATTTGCAGTCCACCATTTGCATATAAATTACTTTTCTCCCAGATGGAGATGGGAGGAGAAAAAAAACATACTCTCATGCATTAACTTAAAGGTGAACTGTACAGATAATTTATTGCCAACATCCCACAGCACTTCGGAACTGATCTTCTTTTATGGTACGCCTTTCTTTGCCAGTTTTAAACAAACCATCTTGTGTTCCATTGCCCTCCGGGGATTTTTGTTTATTTTTGTGTTTTTTTTATAAAAATGCTGGGTCTAGAGTTTCAAAAACTTGTCTTCAACTTAAGATTTTAAAAAATGTAAAAAAATGTTGGTGATTTCCAGGAATGGAGTTTGAGGCTTTGCACCCAGTGTAGTCCAACATGCCAAGGCTGCTGTAGATTACAAACAAGTTTGTCATCGGTGAGCCTCAAATAACTTTCTTTTGAAATCCAGCAATGATACATTTGCTTTTGGCCTGTGTATTCCCCATGGGTTTCAGCTTCCTCAGTGGTTTACATGACAATATGGACTTTTATTTGGATTCACACTGTTGTAACACGCATGACCAGTTCTCTGTTTGAGTTGTTACTGTTCCGATGGTCGTTAGGCCTGAAGTGGCTGAGAATGTGCAGAATAGTGTATCCACAGTGATGGTTCAAAATGGTTCCGGTGCGCTGGGTGCTCCTGGAACTCCTGTCATTGTTTGATGAGTGGTTTGTCCGTGAATTCCTTCCCCCGGCCTTGTTGATAGCCGCACTAATGGCTTCCCCAAGATCCTTGGATTTTTCATAGTTCAGTACCTTCCATTGCTGATTAACCGCTTGCCAGCGCTTGAAGATTCGATACACAGATGATCCCTCATGAATAATGAGACCTGAAAAAGAGCATTTACATTTTTTGAACTCAGAATTTCAATTCTGTATACTGTGTCTATTATCACTGCTTAGGAGAGAGAGCGTATTCCATTCCAACAATCTATGGGATTTCCATGTGTAGGTGGGAAGCATGGAATTCTTAGTTTGGTTTGGTTACCCTTAAGCATTTGTGATTGGTTTCCGCATGTGTCAGACATCCGGCTGGCCCCAAAAAAGTTTCAATTGGCTTTAATATTTCATTTCATATCTCTTCTGGTTTAAAGGAGCTAGAAACAGCACAACGAATAGGATGATGCAAACCTCGAAAAAGGAATCTGATTCTGAAAGGAATTGCTGAGTTTTGATGCCCGTACAATCTAAATGTGATTTTAGGAGACATTCCAACACTTCACGGAGCTGTAGGCATAGCCTGTTACATTCAGCTGGACCTGTTTCTCAGACCTTTAACAGGTTTTGTGTGAAGCTCTGCACATTCGATGAAAATTCAAACCTATTTAGTATAACCGCGTTTCGCCTGCAAAATATACAGTCAATTCACTTTACAGTATATTCTGTGAAGCGCTTGGAGACGTCTAGAAGACGTGATAAGGCGCTGTATCAAATGCAAGGATTATTATTATTAACAACAGGAGGGTAGATGTTCTTTCAAATGCTTTTTTTGTTAAACATCCATATTATTTTGCTGGCCTTTACTCTTGTCTAATTTGCTGCTTATTACCGTTGTATTTTGCCACTTTTCCTTCTCCACACAATTATATTCACTGCTTCCCTTCAGTGTATGAGATCTATGATCTATGTCAGGGTTAAGGAACCAGAGCTCACAGCTGTTTGAGCTGCACTGGACTGAGACACCCAACAAGAACAAGGTCTTTTCATGCTACGTTTACTGCTGTTTACCCCAGACGACACCTTCCCACTAGTCGAGGCCACACCTCCAGGTTACACCTTTCACCAAACCCTACGGCCTAATCGCCATGGCGGTGATGTGGCTCTCATCTTCCGGTTCCCCCTTGGCCTTTCCCCTTACTCCTCCGGAACCTTCCCCTCCTTTGAACACCTTATCCTCTCCTGCACCAAACTCCATGACCCCATCTCCCCCACTCTCGCCCGACTCCATTGGTTCCCTATCCTTCAGAGGATCCAGTTCAAGATCCTGGTCCTCACCTACAAAGCCCTCCATGGCCTCGCCCCACCCTACCTCTGTGACCTCCTAACCAATGCTCCCGTTCCCTCCGCTCAGCCGGCTCTGGCTGCTCCACGTCCCCCGACCCACCCGCCCCACCATTGGCGGGAGAGCCTTCAGCCACTCTGCCCCCAACCTCTGGAATTCCATCCCCCAGTCACTCCACCTCGCCCCCTCCTTAGCCTCAAAACCCTCCTCTTCGACCATGCCATCGGCCACCCCCCTTCCCCTCCCCTCTCCCTCCCTGACCCCAGCTCGGGTATGAAATGCTATACTGTCCAGCACCATGGGATGTCATCCCGACGTGAAAGGTGCTATACACATGTAATCTTGTTGTTGTTTTATGATAAATTATGCTTTTGTTGAATTGCTGTTTGCTCTGATTTTGGTGGTACTTTGCTGGGAGAGATACAGTGTTGGTCGGAGTTAAGCCAGTACCAGTTAGGAGCAGTGTCTCACTCACTGCAGTATGAAGACAGTGAGAGGGAATCATACTGGGCTCAGTATTCTTCAACCCATTGAAAGCTCAATGGTACACCCATTGTACCATTCAAAGATGGTACAACCATGTTCACTATGTAACCAGCTCTTCAACAGCATTAAAAACTCACACCCAGTTTTTTTACACGATGCAGAGTGGAAAGAATTAAACCAAGTTATCTGCTCCAGGTTTCCCTCCTGAGGTACAAACAGTGTGAAGGGCCAGTTTTGTGTGGAGTAAGGAAACTTGCCCGAGGTTTCGCCCTCTGCCGGGAATTGAACTCAGGTCTCTCAATTGCAAAGCAAGTGCTCTAACCACTGAGCTACAGGACTCCAATCAACAGTGCTTGGCCTACTGTGGCACAAACCAGGCCAGGCTTTTCCCTAGGGTGGACAAGGCATTCATTATATCACTCATAAAAGGGTGAATTACTGTGACCCACTGGGTTCCAAACCCAGAAACTTCTTGTGCTGTGTCTTATGCTCAACTGACAGATACCCAGAACATTAGCACTCTTATTACTAAAGGTTGCTGAAATCATGTACACTGCAGATTCTGTTTCTTGACTGACACAGCACAAGGTACATTGTGGGGATGGAGAAAGGATACTTCCACAGTCTTTTCCTTTGTCAGATGCCACACGATGGTAGAATGGCTTGTGGCTGTGATTGAAAATCATATCTTCTGGCTGAGAGCCCGGTTCTACAGAGCAGTAATCTATCGTTATGACGTATTACTGCTCCTATCTTGGCAGCCTGTGACTATGATTGTGTTTTTCTAAAGGTTGTGATATAAATCAAAATACACGACATTGCACATTTTGGACAGAGTTTAACCAACACAAATAAATGTATGGTCTGTTCAGTGCTGACCCAATCCACACAGTGTGGTTCCTCGTCTGATGAAGTGCACCACAGAAGTGAGAAAGGAGACCAACTCTAAAGCCTTTAGCAACTGCTCAGCTGGAAATGACAAGGTGCCATTGTGTGAGGTGGAATCCAGCATTGTGGAGACTTGCATCTGAAGCTTGTTACTTCGCACATAAACACTTACCAATGCAGACGATGTCCATGAAGCCATACATGCCGTAACAGATCTGAAAGAGCAGGTCCTGTCTCTGCCACTTTGCCGATGGACTGAGGGAGGACCAGATCAACCAGGAGATGCTAGCAATTAGGAAGAGGGAACCAAGGATGATGGCAGCTATCTGCACTTTCTCAATCACCGTCAGGGAGATTGCTTGCCACTGAAAGAGAAGCAATGAGTGGGAGTGGAAAAAGAAAGAAACATGAGAGAGAAGTGACCAAGAAACACTCATTAAATTAGATAATATGAGAAAGAAAGAGACAGAATTGAAGAGAGAGAAACAAAGAGAAGAAACAAGAAGGGGTTGCAAGATATGAGACAGTTGGAAATATAAGGGGGATAGAGAAAGGAAAAAGCATTAAAGTTCAACACTTTGCAATTCACAGTTTTCTAATTTGACTGGAATATCACAAGAAATTATCATTTCAGGAGTTTGGCTTTTGCTATCTATTCACACTAGCAAGCTTTATGTTCTTTGCTTATAATGTAAGCGCAGAAACTAAATGTTCTCTAGCTTTAGCGAACAAACTGACTGCATCATCAAGTGACCCTGAAAAGTGATCTGTCAACTGGTTCAAGATTGGATTCATAACATCTTGCATTCATAACATCCAGGCTCGACTACGCAAACTCCCTGCTTGTCAGCATCCCCAACTCCTCCCTCCATAGGCTGCAGATCATCCAGAACTGTGCAGCCCGTATCCTCTCCCACACCAGGCTCCGTGACCCTATCGCCCCCATCCTCGCCGACTCCACTGGTTTCCCATCACACAGAGGATACAGTTCAACAACAACAACAATAACAAGATTACATTTGTATAGCGCCTTTCACGTCGGGAGGACGTCCCAAGGCACTGGACAGTGTACAGCATTTCGGACCCGAGCTGGGGTCAGGGGGGAGAAGGGAGGGGAACAACAACAACAACAAGATTCCATTTATAAAGCGCCTTTCACGTCAGGAGGACGTCCCAAGGCGCTGCACAGTTGGGTCATGACCCGAGCATTGGGGGGAAATGGTCAGGGTGAGGGAAGGGAGGGAGCAAGGAGGGGGGAAATGGTCAGGGTGAGGGGAGCGAAGGGAGGGAGCGAGGAGGGGGAAGAGAGTCGAGAGGGGGGGGATGACTGATGGTATGGTCGAAGAGGAGGGTTTTGAGGCGGAACTTGAAGGAGCCTAAGGAGGGGGCGAGGCGGAGTGATTGGGGGATGGAATTCCAGAGGTTGGGGGCAGAGTGGCCCCAATGGTGGGGCGGGTGGGTTGGGTTACATGGAGCAGCCAGAGCCGGCTGAGCGGAGGGAGCGGGCGGGTTGGTAGGGGGTTAGGAGGTCACAGAGGTAGGGTGGGGCGAGGCCATGGAGGGCTTTGTAGGTGAGGACCAGGATCTTGAACTGCATCCTCTAAAGGATAGGGAGCCAATGGAGTCGGGCAAGAGTGGAGGAGATGGGGTCACGGAGTTCAAGATCCTGGTTTCCATCTTCAAAGCCCTCCTTGGCCTTGCTCCCCTCTAATTCTGTGACCTCCTAACCCCCTACCAATCTGCCCGCTCCCTCCGCTCAGTGGGCTCCAGCCTGCTACACGTCCCCCACCTTACTCACCCCACCATTGGCGGGCGGGCCTTCAACCACTCTGCCCCCCCCCCCCCCGGAACTCCATCTAGCAGCTACTCCCCTCTCTTGCCTCCTTCAAGACCCGTCTCAAGACCCTCCACTTCAACCATGCCTTCGATCACCCTCCTTCCCCCACTGCCATCCACCCTCCCCGATCCCGACCGTCATCCTGGGTCCGCAACACTGATTGTCCAGTGCTTTGGGACTTCCTTCCGACATGAAAGGCGCTATACAAATATAATTTTATTGTTGTTGTTATGGGGAACCCTACTTTGATCTTTGAACGAATTGGGAAAACTTCCATGGCAAACAATGATAAAAAAATTCTAAATGGAAATTTAGTGCTTTAATGTGTATTATAATGACTGGGCAGTGGCATTAGAGCTAGTGAGATTGAGAGTTAATTATTGGGGGAGTGATGGATATAGTCACTGGTACAAAGCATTGATAGTTTCCCAGCACATGTCCAGTAGCACTGAGAGATTTGGGTTTCAAAATTGAGAATATGACCATATCTATGTCTAGACTGACAGTGCAGTGAAATGTCTAGTGAGTGCTGAATTATCAGAGGTGCGTCCATTGACTTTTGGGATAGAGAAAAGATCTTTTTTGTGCCAATTTTAGAATTCCTTAGAATATTTGTGGACTCCTATAGCTCAGTGGTTAGAGCACTCGCCTCTCAAGCAAGAGACCTGGGTTTGATTCCCAGCAGGGTGAAACCTTGGGCAAATTTCCTTACTCCACACGCCTAATAATAATCCCTCACGAAAAGAAAATAATAAATTGATCACTTCAATCCTCGACTGTCTGTGGGACGCTGCTGTGCGCAATTGGCTGCCGCGTTTCACCCACAAATTTACAGTCATTCACTTTACAGTCTATTCTGTGAAGCGCTTTGAGACGTCGAATAGATGTGAAAAGCGCTATATCAAATGCAAGGATTATTATTATTATTATTATTATTATCTCCAAGTCTCATGAGGTATGAGGAAAGATTTAGGTAAAATAGACTGGAGAATAAGATTAAGAGGTAAAAATGTAGACCAAATGTAGCAAATATTTAAGGATGTAGTGCAAAATTCTCAGCGGTCGCATATTCCCTTGCGGAATAAAAGTACCACAGGGAACGCAATTCATCCGTGGCTAACCAGAGCAGTTAGGGAAAGCATCAAATTAAAAGAAAAGGCTTATAAAACTGCCAAGAAAAGCAGCAAATCTGAAGACTGGGAGAGTTTTAGAAACCAGCAAAATAAAACTAAAAAACTCATTAAGAGTGAGAAAAAGGAGTATGAGGGTAAGCGAGCGACGAACACTAAGTCTGATTGTAAAAGCTTTTACAAATATATTAAGAGGAATAGGCTGTGAGGGTAAATGTAGGTCCACTACAGTCAGAGACGGGAGAAGTTGTAATGGGGCATAAGGACATGACAGAGTCCCTAAATGGGTACTTTGCATCTGTCTTCACCATAGAAGACACAACAAGTCTACCAACAATAGCGATGCACCAAAGGGATAAGGACAGGGAGCAACTTAGGGAAATTTTCATTGGTAGAGAATTGGTTCCAGGGAAACTGTTAGCACTAAAAAGTGACAAATCCCCTGGTCCGGATGGCTTGCATCCCGGGGTTTTAAAAGAGGAGCTTATGAGATAGTGGAGGCCTTATGTCTGATCTTCCAAAATTCCTTGGATTCTGGAACAGTCCCCATGGATAGGAAGATCGCAAATGTCACACCACTATTTAAAAAAAGTGGAAAGGAAAAGATGGGGAACTATAGGCAGTTAGTCTCACATCAGTGATAGGAAAAGTGTTAGAATCGTTGATTAAGGATGTGGTAGTGCGGTATTTAGGGCACAATATAATTAGGCCAAGTCAACACGGCTTTACAAAAGGGAAGTCATGTTTGACAAATCTCATAAGAGTTTTTTTGAGCATATTTCCAGTAAAGGGTGAATCAGTGGATGTGGTCTATTTGAACTTTCAGAAGGCATTCGATAAGATGCCGCATAAAAGGTTAGTCCAAACGATAAGGGCCCATGGAATTGGGGGGAGCATATTAACGTGGATTAGGGAATGGTTAACGGGTAGGAAACAGAGTAGGGATAAACGGGTCCTTTCCGGATTGGCGGGATGTGACTTGTGGAGTGCCACAAGGATCAGTCCTTGAGCCTCAGCTATTTACCACCTACATCAACGATGTAGATGAGGACATCGAAGTTAATATATCTAAATTCGCGGATGACACAAAACTAGGAGGAAGTGTCAACACAAAGGACGACATTAAAAAAATGCAGCGAGACATAGATAGTTTAGGTGGTTGGGGAGGTAGGCGGCCGATGAAGTATAATGTAGGGAAGTACAAAGTCATCCACCTCGGGAGCAAAAACAGTAGAGTGGGCTATTTTTTAGAAGGGGAGAGATTGGAATGTGTTAGCGTCCAGAGGGACTTGGGATTCCTTGTACACCAATCACAGAACGTTAGTCTGCAGGTACAGCAGCAATTAGGAAGGTGAATGGTATGTTAGCGTTCATTATGAAAGGATTAGAGTGTAAGAGTAGGGAAGTCTTACTGCAACTGTATAGGGCCCTGTGAGACGACACCTGGAATACTGTGTGCAGTTTTGGTCTCCTTATTTAAGGAAGGATGGACTTGCTTTGGAGGGGGTGCAGCGTAGATTTACTGGATTAGTACCAGGGATGAAGGGGATGAGTTACGAGGATAGGCTGACCAATTTGGGCCTATATTCTCTGGAATATAGAAGAATTAGAGGGGATCTTATAGAAACCTATAAGTTCATCAAAGGGCAATGATAGAGTAGATAGTGGGAGATTGTTTCCCGTTTGGAGGAACTAAAACCAGGGGTCACAACCTTAAAATCAGAGGCAGCCCTTTCGCACTGAGTTGAAGAAGAACTTCTTCACTCAAAGGGCAGTGAATGTGTGGAACGCACTACACCCAAAGGGCTGTTGACGCTCAGTCCTCGAACATATTCAAGACTGAGAGAGATAGATTTCTTATTGCAAAAGGGATTAAGGGATATGGGGATAAGGCGGGGGGGGGAGGCTGGCTGGGGTGGGGGGTGGGGATATGGGGGTAAGGCGGGGAGGAGGCTGGCTGGGGTGGGGAGGTGGGGGATATGGGGGTAAGGCGGGGGGGAGGCTGGCTGGGGTGGGGAGGTGGGGGATATGGGGGTAAGGCGGGGGGGAGGGGAGGCTGGCTGGGGTGGGGAGGTGGGGGATATGGGGGTAAGGCGGGGGGGAGGGGAGGCTGGCTGGGGTGGGGAGGTGGGGGATATGGGGGTAAGGCGGGGGGGTAAGGCGGGGGGGGAGGCTGGCTGGGGTGGGGAGGTGGGGGATATGGGGTAAGGCGGGGGGGGGGGGGGGGGGGCTGGCTGGGGTGGGGAGGTGGGGGATATGGGGGTAAGGCGGGGGGGGGGGGGGGCTGGCTGGGGTGGGGAGGTGGGGGATATGGGGGTAAGGCGGGGGGAGGGGGAGGCTGGCTGGGGTGGGGAGGTGGGGGATAAGGCGGGGGGGGGGGAGGCTGGCTGGGGTGGGGAGGTGGGGGATATGGGGTAAGGCGGGGGGGGAGGGGGAGGCTGGCTGGGGTGGGGAGGTGGGGGATATGGGGGTAAGGCAGTGTCAGGTTATTAGCTGGAGTTAGATTAGAAGATTGAATGGCGGTGCAGAGGCTCGAAGGGCCGAATGGCCAACTCCTGCTCCTACATGTTATGTTATGAGTCATATAGACTGGTCAACCATGAACAATGTTATTGCAGACAAACTAGCATTTCCAGCCCAGCCCCCTCACAGCCAGTTCACTCAAAACGATACCCCACCAAGGAAATATATAGTTTTAGACATATTATCAGTTTTTAAATCAATACCTAAAGGATAATGAGCTGAGTGACCCATTGTAATTTAAGACAAGAAACCATACTAAAACTGTAGAGGGGCATAAGAAACAATTTGCACCTGCTTATAACCATATATACCTGATGCACATTAAATCAGTGTTTTGCCCCTCTCCACGATTTTGGCAGAGTCTCTTGCTTACCTGCAGTGGGTTCTTTGTGCTGATTGCTAGGACCTGGTACTTAAAGTAACACAGCTCACAGCTCCATGAGCCTCGCTCGCTAATCCATCTGATTAGGCACGGCTGGTGTGTGCAACGTACAGAGCCAGAACACCGGCACGGGCTCAGCAGCTCACCCTGTAAAAAACACAACACAAACCAGACTAAGAAAAACATGTACTAAGCAACAAAGAATTGCCCCTTGATGCACTGGTTTTGATATTCAGACTTTGGAGTCAGACTTTGGTTGACAAATCATCCTGCATGCTCTTCCTCCCTCTCGGTTTGCATCCTCATTGCACTGAAATTAAGACTTAGTCGAAGTTATAGCAGGTTAATTTTTCATTTTCATTCAGAAATATGTTACGATATTGTGGCACTGAGCACTGCAAATATATTCCAGGTGACTTCTGAGGACCTTCTTCATATTATATGAATGCAGGAGTGACACGTCTACAAGTCCAGAGCCCAAAATTTTAAGGAAATGTTATTATCAATTTCATGGAACTCATGAGAACAAACTGAAATGCTGCAATACTAATTGTTTTTGCTAAAGGGAATATTATTATTTACGTAGCTCACTAAGGTCCTCTACTGACAGAAACTGAGAATGCCAGATGTACAACACTGGGTGAATCTTTTTAAAACTGCCTGAGATGCTGAATATTTTGGTACTGTCAGGCCCTAGATCATTATTCCCATCAAAATATTAAGATTTATGGTGCAATGACCTGGTGTTAAGGGGGTTAATTTGCTCCTCCTAAATGATTAGCCAGCTCAGTTGTGGCACTGAAAGAGTCTGCTCACTGTTCCATGACATAATACTGTAGTATTGCTGTAAAGGCAAATCAATACAGAATCAGATCGCTTGCTCCCATTAACCCTTGTTGCATTTTCCCAATCCACACTCAAACCTGTAAATTTGGTGAAGCTGTATAATAATAATCCTTGCATTTGATATAGCGCCATATCACATCATTGAGACTGTCAAAGTGCTTCACAGAATGTACTACAAGGAACCATCAGGGAGTGGAGACAGACTGATTTCCTGCCTCGTGAATATTGCAGTAAGAGTCATTTCTTTTAAATAAGGGAATTTTCTTGTAAGTGTTGATCTGAACTCGTCTCTTGTTCTTTGCTGCTGAGATGCAATGTCAAAATCACAATGCTATTATTCAGACAAAATAATTACAATCATGGGTTGAAGTGAAGCTTGAAGCCTGAGCTCTATATGGATTGCCAGGAGTTTGTGAGTGAGTCTCCAACAGGACCCTGAGTCAGAGCTGTCAGTACTCCGGCTTTGCCTGATCTATCAGCACGAGAGAGAGAGAGATGTTACAGGAGATGAGGTTACAAATTGCATACCATTTGTATATCTGCTTGGCACTGTTCAAACAGTTACACTGACTGTCCTGGTCAACAGACCTCCAAATTAGGTCATTCACCCACCCACAAAATACAGTCACTCTACTCTATCCTCTGAAGCACTTTGAGACATCTCAACAACATGATAAGGCGCTATATCAAATGCAAGGATTATTATTATGTTTGTGGGACATTGTTGTACGCAGATTGGTTGCTGCATTTGCCTACAAATAAACAGTATTCGCCTACATTTTACATTTAAAAATATCCTGTGAAGCACTTTGAGACATTTTGATAACATAACACTAATCAAATGCAAGGATTTTTATTCATTTATTTAGACTGACAATAGCTGCATTTTTCACCTTTATGTCTACCCGCGCTATAAAGTAATTCATTGTAAAACTCTTTGAAATGTTTTGATGTAGTAAGGCTCTGTGTCAAATGGAAGTGTTGTTTTTACAATTCCCATACATTATAAAGAAATGTGAATGAATCTATAAATATGGCTCCCAAATAATCACCTTAATAAACAAAATATTCTCTTCAACTCTCAACAGATCACTTGGCAATAAAGATTAACATTGTTAATAGAATTAATTTGTAATTCTGACACATGTGTGAGATGTGAGTCAGAAACTCTGATCTGATCTTGCATCATGTACCACTTTATCTTGTTGTAACGTTTAATTTAAATAGTTTGATGTTGGGAGACAGACTGATGACTCTGCAATATGTGTGGTTTGATTCACATATAGAACAGGCAAGTGAATGAATCAATATGCGACAAGGTTATGCGAACATCAATCTAATGAAGTGGTAAGTCCGTCATAAATCAGTCAGGAACGCAGGAAATGTAGGATATCGATTTTAAAATCAAATCAGGGCATGTGATGGCACACGACCAGTCAAATCACATTGATGATAATAATAATAATCCTTGCATTTGATATAGCGCCTTATGGCGTCTTTGAGATGTCTCAAAGCGCTTCACAGAATATACTGTGAAGTGAATTGACTATATTTTGTGAAACGCGGCAGCCACTGTCATGGATTGGGTGACCAAATTATTATTTTTATTTATTTAATATTTGTTTGTTTGTTTATTTATTTATTAAAACAAAAATCAATAAAAATAACAGTTCTTGCTGGCAATCACTTGTGAAGGCATTTAATACACATCAGCCCTGGACCCTGCAGAGGAGCCTTTCAGCCACAACCTAACTTTGTATACAAAAGTATGATGAAGGTGCCACATAGCAGGCAGTCAGTAATTATTCGTGAGAGAAAACTAAAGCAAGGCTTTGGTGCACCGAGCTTTACTCTGCTGCAGTAGATATATCAGACCATATATATTAAACATGTTCTCCAAATGCCAACATTCACTAATACCAATCCTAGCAAAAATGGTAAGCAGGTAAGTGAGCTGTCTCTGAAACTGAACTTGCTTTGAGGAGACAATCTTGATGAGGCCAGGCAGCTCCACAGCAAAGTGGCTTCCCTCAATGGGGGCCAAGTGGGGTGGGGATGGGAAGTTGACCGAAGACGCAGTCAAAGAGGAAGGTCTTGAGATGGACCATGAAGGAGGAAAATGAGGTGAAAGGACTCCGGGATAGAATTTCAAGAGAGTGGGGCCAAATAGGTTCATAGCCCATTCACCAGTGGTAAAGTGGGAAGGGCGAGGGACGTGAAGCAGGCCAGTGCCTGGTGAGAAAGGAAGCAGGCAAGTTGGAAGGGTTTAAGAAAGTGGCAGAAGTAGGATGGAGCAAGACCTTGAGGAATTTAAAAGCGAGGTTGAGGATCTTGCACTCAATTCACTGGCGGACAGTGAGCTAGTGGTGCCAATGAGGATGGGGTAATAGGCTTTGGGAGCCGAATGCTGAGAAGCCTCACCACACCCCAACAGTAATAATAAACATTGGTTGGAAAGTTTGTCCCCAATGTCCTTAATATTTTATCATAGAATTAATGATGCACAGTTTTGATTTATTTCTCCCGTGCATCTATGGTAGACAGCGGAAAGTCATGTAATGATAGATTGTAAGCAGGAGGCCTGCAATAAAACGTATTTGTGTAATAGTCATTAACCTTCTGTCCTCAAGCCTGAGTTCATGTGGCATGGTGAGTCATCTCTGAGAAACCAGTGCAGTTTACAGCATTTACTCGTCATGTGTTTAGCAACTAAATGTCAATGTTTAATAGGAATTTGCTTTGATGGTTAATTCAGATTTAGCTGAACATCTCGTTCGCATGCCCACAAAGAAGACATTTAGGTTACATATTATAAATAATAATAATCCTTGCATTTGATATAGCGCCTTATCACGTCTTTGAGACGTCTCAAAGCGTTTCACAGAATATACTGTAACATGAATTGACTCTATATTTTGTGAGCGAAACGGGGCAGCACAGCAGTGTCCCACAAACAGTCATGACCAATTTATTATTATCATTTTTATTTATTTTTGAAGGATTATTACCCCTAGAAAAGCAATCCCCAATCGACTAACAACTGGGTTCCTACTGACTGCTAGGTAAACAGAGGCGTGTGGAGTAAGGAAACTTTCCCAACATTTCTCCCTACCGGGAATCAAACCCAGGTCTCTCGCTTGCGAGGCGAGGGCTCTAACCACTGAGCTACAGGTCTCTATGTTCAGGAGAACCAACCTTTGTGAGTTGAGGATTGGGATCAGTCCTGGGAGCTGGCCCATTCTCCATCTACCTGCAGTCTTATGCCAGCTCAGGAAAGTCAGCTCAAGCTTGTGTACAGAATATTCCTTATTCCATGCAGACTGAAGACGCTCTATCCTGGGTTTGATGACCAGCACTGATGCGGATACCCTCCTCCACATTGTTTGGAATTGCCCCAAAATCCTGAGTTTCTGGAGCTCTGCGATAGAGAACACAAATGTGATGATGGGGCTAATACATTATCATTCCCCCGCATATTATGGCTGTTGGGAATCTTCCCTGAGGCACGTGGTCCTTGAAACAGAAAACATTCTAAGAGATTGATTTGCAAAGCACCCGCTCCTGGCCTCAGCGGCCTGAATGGCCTTCTGGGATAATGCGATCTACATTTCATTACTGGTGAAGAAATGTTGGTGTGTACCACACACAAAACTTTTCACACGTCTCTCTGAAATGCAGTTAGTAATGCATCCACCTATCTATCTGTTCACTGTATCTTCTCAGCTTTAATAGGTAGATCTACGTGTAGTGTTCTTCAGTGTTCTTCCTGTTTCCATTTACAGTGAATATTCTGAGAATAACTCCCTCCTGTGTTATTAGAATACTGGAATGTGCCTCAGAGCACAATCTTTTAAATATTTAATTGCAATGAAAAGACATATTAATTAAAAACAACTTTGCAAGTGTACAAAAGAATCTAATCATTATGCAATAGGAAACCTAGCACCATATCCTCGCCTGCAACAGGATGCTTTCATTGACAGTGGTTGGTTTCTCTTTCTAATATCGTATTCTGAGACTCTTGTATGGTTTCTTGAATGCTTTTTTATATAATGTTCCTTGTGTGACACCGTGTTTCATTTCTGGGCAGATGCTAATGATGTTTAGGGTTAGTATTGTTCTACAGTTAAGTAATATTAAAATGCAGACACCCATTGGTGTGGTTCAATTGGTCTCAGTTGGCCATGTACAGATCTC